GATAAGGGGTCAGTACAAAAAGCAACAATCAAGGCGGCAATGGAGAGGCGCAATGAGCGGCCAGCAGGGCAGCAGCAGAGAGGTGAGACAAATGGCCAGTAGGGTGGCACCAGAGAGCAGTGAGCAGGCAGATGGTGAGTGACCAGCAGAATGAGTAAGATGCCTCCTTAACTCTCCCCCACAATCAGAGTGGGAGGTGCTTGCAGCTGCATCTCTGAACGCTGAGTCTGCCCTGACCAAGAGCAGCAAGTGTGAGTGTGGTGCAGAGAAAGGCTGGGCATGTGAAGGGGATGTTTACATTGCTGGACTTAAGAACCTGAGAGGAAAAGGACATTGCCCAACCTACTGGGGTGGGACTTTTACTGATGGTTTATGATTATGAACTCTGACTGGTGTTTTCCACGTTACTTCCCTCTCTTTTTATTAAAAGTTTATTTTCTACACTCAGACTCTGTACTTGCGAGTGGGGAAGCATTGCCTCCCAGAGATACCCAGAAGTGTAGTGGGAATTTCCCAAGTTATTGGGTGGGGGCGTAAGCCAGTTGTGTGTTGGATGGATGGAGAGGAACTATTAGATATTGAACTTGGCCCTGGCTGCTTCTGGCTCTACCTGGCTGTGGCCAGACAGACTAACCCCATATCATCCATCTTATTTGCCTCTCTGAAGCACAGGGCAGAGAAGGAGCAATAATATCAGCATAGTCTATGCTGGCTCATCTGATCCTGAGAAGCTGAAACACAGATATGTGGATAGAGAGCAGCTAAGTCAATAAGCTGGCCTCGAGGCTGCGGCTGGCACCTATGTTGATTCGAACACACACAGTCCCTGGAAGGGGAATTTCCCACTGAGAAAACAATGTCCTGTACTTCCAATTTAATCATCTCAATTCTCTCTTACAAGTGTAAATTAAGTTCACAACTTCCTTGTAAGAACTGGTCTCACAGCAGACAGACCAGCATCAATTGGCATTACAGATAAGAAAGAGAAAATACGTGACCCCATGATTATATAAGATGGGCCCAGCACACACTCACTTTGAGTGTCATTCTACCCTCTACCTGCTGGTCGGGTTAGGTGTTTGACCTCCCGAGGTTCTATGGGGACGCCCACCTCGTATTTTCGTCTTTCCTAGGAATTGAGGGACCGGCCCTGGCCTGACATGCTGGAGTCGAGAGGCACAGAAGGGGGTAAAAATGGTACCTGGATGTGGTCCTCTGTCTTAAGTGTACACATAGAAAGAGTAAGCTGTTACTTGGTACCATTATTTCTATTTTTCTATCTTTATCTTCTTTGTAACCATTTTTAAGACCTATATTTTGCTAATAGTTAAGAAATAGAACAATAGCCATTGCAACCATATGATTTATAAGCTTCCTCAAATAAACCTGTAACTGTTTAAGCTTTAACCTGCCTCCTTCAGTTGCTGTAACAGAACCAAGCACAATTTAAAAGAACTTCAGCCGGTCTAAAGGGACAGTTATAGGAAGAGCTTGGGCGTTTGGATCTGTGTCACTCCCAGGTGACAGGATCCACTGGGGCATCTTTCAGTCTTTCTCCAAGGCTGCCCGCTGCGAAGGAATTATGAAATTCTAGCAGCTGAAATCTAAGATGTAATAAGCTCTTCCTATATAACGGGGCGTCTGTTGGCCTGCTGGCCACCCTCTGCGATGGGACCCCGGTCCTAGCTGTAAAGGCACGGACGTTAAACCTTTTCTCGGAAACATACACACACACACTGCCCTGACCGTCGGCTGACAGGCGCCACCCCCAGGAGTGCAATTCATACGCGGCCCTGCCCCTGCGTGCCTAGCACATGCGCAGCCCCACCTCGGGCATGTGGCATATGCACAGCCCTGCCCCCGGGCACCCTGCGCAGCTGCTGCCCCCACCCAGTCCAGCAGCCCTGCGTGGCGCCCTCTACAATGAGGCACCCCGGGTGGTAGCCCGGTTAGCCTGTACCGTGGGCCGGCTCTGCACAAAGGCATCACCAGCGCATTTTTAATTTGCCAAAGGCACATTCCACTGTCATCCGGCACCTACTCAGCCTTTTGTGGAACTGCTCCTTGTTGCTGTCGAGGTTTTCCATGTAAGGTTTCAAGAGCAACAGCTGTAGGGGGTATACCAGGTCTCCCAGGATCACTATGTACATTTCAACATTCCCCACTGTAATCTCGTGATTTAGAAAGCCCTTTCTTGAAGCTTTCCGTACAGTTGAATCTTGCTGAAGATGCATATGTCAAAAAATGAGGAGTACAGGATCTGCCGTAAAAGCTCCCTGCTGTCAGCAGAGCCGCGGCTACACTTTACTTTTACTTTCGAAAGGGCATGTGGTCATCACAGATCCTGAACGTGAGTATGCAAATGAAGCCTGGGATATTTAAATCCCGGGCTCATTTGCACTTTTAAAGTGCTTGATTTGCATCCCTCTGTCAGCAGAGGGATGCAGACTAGAGGTAGCCAAACTAAATAGGTGGCTGACTTTTTTTTTAGTTCAGTTTGTGAGTTTGGGCTTTGTTGACTTGAGACATTTTATGTAAAAAGCTACTTATTCTGATGCCTGTTGTGTTATAAGATTGATGTTTACAATAATAACAACAACAATAATACTGTGTACATTTATTAAGCCATCTAGTTTTCCTATACAGGACATGCACCAACCCAGGCTAACTTCCTGAGAGGGACTCTATGAGATAGTGTGCCGATATGGATGATATGTATACACATATAACATGAGTGTAGCTCATGAGTCAGGTACAAGTTGATTCTTATGGCTGTGGATCCAAATTTTTGTATTTGCTCAGGGCTCTACTGGACACTACAAAGACAGATGATTTCGGGGAAAGTGGGGACTGGACTCCAACTTCGATTAATGGAGCATAAGCACCGAAGAGCTTCTGAGAAATCTGTGGGTGGCAGAAAAGAGAAAATGGACCCAGAAAGATTGTGATCTGAGCTTTGTGGGAGTCATTTACACCTGTGGGAAATAAAAATAAAACACTCCTGTCCCTGTGACATCTGTGACATGGCCTATAGATCAAAATGCTAGATCTTAATCAGAATGAGGTTATTTTTTTGCGGTGAGCATTTATATTCTTTAGATACAGTACATCATTTATATTCTTGCTACTGACAAGCAATAGATAACTTATTTAGATGTCTGTTATCCCAGTTCTGCAGCTGTGAAGATAAAGAAAAAAGAAGACATAATTTTTTATCATGAAGACAATTATCAAATTTATGAAGTGGCATTGAAATAAAAACCTCAGGCGTGACGGTAAGTATTGATGATAGAGGGGCATAAAAAGTTCCTGCCAGCTGTCTAATAATGTATGTATTCTCCACAGCTTCAACAGTGTTAGTAGCAAAACGTACCCAAAGTATCAAAAATGAATAGGAGTTAGAATATTTTACAAAGTTAAAATTATAAACATAAAAGGATACCTCATTATGGCAATGACAAAACTCACACATAATGTTTGATTGCATAAGTAGCTGGTTGCTTTATGGGAAATTTTGTACCAGGTTTCAACAATGTGGGAGGCAGGTGACAGAAATTGATGGACAAATGTCTGGATCTAGGACAGCAAATGCTATGATAGTATCTTGATCTGTGTTGTGCTTAATCAACTGAGTGCTATGACTACTTTATGTGATTTAGTGCATGCTGGTACAGTGATATAGAAGATGTGTGTGTAGATATGTTTATAAAAAAGTGTATTCTTACCTTGGGTTAGCTAATTGACCATGGCTAACTTGGGTTAAACTGAAATGAATACATAGCAACTCAGCTTTTAATTCAGAACAGCAGCTCACATTAAAACTTATGAGGAAGTACTTGAACTTGAGCTGCTAGCCCAAGTTGTTGTGTCTTCTCTGCTGTTTTAACCCAGGTGAGCTAACCCGAGTGAAGAACACCACACACCTTTTATTTGTAGTGCAGCCATACTCTAAAACTGAACGTATTCATGGCTTGGCTAACCTTAATAAGAATTGTTTTAAGCTGGAGTCAGTGTTGCTGGTGTGCAAGAAAGGACATCCAATCTTTTGCAATATTCTTAAGCAGTTTCTCACTGGTTTTGGTGAGTGCTGATTAGCATTTTAGCATTTCTCCCTTGGGGTATGTCTACACTTGCACCCTCTTTCGATGCAAATGAAGACATTTGAAATTGCAAACAAAGCCGGGATTTAAATACCCCACGCTTGCATAATCGTGTTATTGTGCTACAGTAAACTTCCAATAATACGGCACCTTTAGGACCCAGGGGGTGCCAGACTATCAGATATGCCGGACTATCGGAAGGGGGGCTATGAGGGGTCTGGGGTGGAGTGGGGGGGATGCCACCCCAGATCCCTCATAGCCCCCCCTTCCAATAGTCCGGCTCTGCCCCAGGCATCCCCGATTCAGCCGCTGCTGGGCAGTTTCAGCAGCAGCTGAATCGGGACACCTGCAGCAGAGCAGTTGGGGTGCTGCTGGGTTGGTCCGGTAGGGCCGCCCCTTGGCGCTGTGAGATCAACCTGGCAGCACCTCAGTTGCTCTTGGGGACACCTGGGGCAGAGCAGCTGGGGTGCAGCAGCTGGGGTGCTGCTGGGATGGTCCTACAGCACCAAGGGGTGGCGCTACCGGACCAACCAGGCAGCACCTCAGCTGCTCTGCCCCAGGCATCCCCAAGTCAGCCGCTGATGAAACTGACCAGCGGCTGGCCCCCGACGCG